AAAAAAATAAACAAATAAATAAAGATAAAAAGATAAGGGATCTCAAGCTGACTCAGAATGGAGAATGGGAGACCTATTTGTATCCCATCTCACTGTTAGGTGACATCTATTCCGGGCACTTTGCTTTTTCTGCCAATAACATTGAACTGTACAGGCTTGTATTTCCTATAAGGCTGAGCAATGAATTCCACAGACCAGATTTTTAAAGCATGAATTTTCATAACTAACAAAAGAAATTATAGAAAAAGATGAAAGGGAAGTCCCATTAACCCATAGCTGTGAGAGGAGAATGAATATTTTGTGCTACAAAGCATGCAATAAGAAAAGTCTTATTTAACAAAATGATAAAGTGGGCGTTTTCATAAGGAAAAAATTCTTATTCTGTTGTAACATATGGAGACAGGTGCTTATACACAAGTGTGGTGGTAGAGATTAAGTACATTATTACAACATCTCAGCATTAAAAAGTATAATCATGTGTAATAAAATGACTATCATTTTACTAACATCTTTTTGCTACATTTTCAATGTCTGATGTGATTGGACCAATTCAATTAGATAATAGTTTGTAATGCCTTCCTGACACCCTACATTTCTCAATCAGAGCAGTGAAGTTAAAGGCAGAAAATGACATCCTAGAAGTTATAGAATCAAGCCGTATGGAGAATGTCCAGAATAAAATTCATCAGGAAAACAGAGCTCTGGATCTGGACTCTGGATTTTCTGTAGTCTAGGGGTTGCAATTCTGTTAGACTTACCTGGCACAATCTTGGGTGGTGAGCAAGTGGCTTTTGGGGGCTCCTTTCCCTTGTTTAATTTGAAAGGATTGTTGATATTGATTGCTGCACAAAAGAATAGGATTCTTTAGGGGTCTTAGGGTATGATCAAGGAAATTCCCTAATAAGAAAACTTGGAGAACTCTTTAAAATCTTTGCAAGTCCTGGCCCACACCCAGGCCAAGCTGGTTCCCTTCTGAGTCACCCCCTTGTAGGTTAGCGATGCTCCGTTCTTGTCCCCACAGGCAGAGTCAGTTCCCAGGCGAGGGGCAACTCTGCTCTCCTGACTTTCCTCTCCTGCACTGCTCTCTGTCACTTCTTGCACCTTCTCCTTTTCATTCTCCATTTCCTTCACTCTGCCTGCTTTCCATATAGAGAGACCTTAAAGATCTCGTGTGGAAAGTGGTAAGCCTCCTCTACGCCCACCACCCTGGTGCCTCCTTGAACTGTTTACAAGGCTGCAAAATCATCTTTCATGTCTGAGCCACAGGTGCATTTAAGGACTACTTTTTAGAGTAGTTTGCTTACATTAAGATAAAAGCGAGTGCACTGTTTAAAACAATGAAGGAAATTTACATTTTACTTTGATACAGTGAGCAATTAGAATGAATGTACTATTTGAAACATTATTGTTTTGTAACTTGAACATGAGGCAACATTTGTATTTGCTCTGAGGTCTTTTCCTAGTTTGTTTTCCTGAAAGGGGCGTGTTTCTAATTATTCTCCAGGTCTAGAAAGTAAAAAGGGAAAACCAATCACCAATTTGTATTCCAAAGAGTTACAAGTTGTATGACAACTCATGCTATAAAGAGAATTTAGATAATATAACATTTTGATAATTGTTTTTATCTCTCATTTAACAAAAGAAAAACTCAGAATCCAGGATATTAGTCTTTCCTATAATTTCCCATGATTTTTTGTAGATGACTTTGAAGCATTTCTATGATTGAATTTTTTTACCTAGGCAACAAGGATGACACTGTCTATCCTGCTTATCCTTTAAGGTTATTGTAAAGAATATAATACTATTTATAAAGGTCTTTTGAAAGGTCACTGTGTATGCCATGACTTGCTGAATACTAACTCTGTCAAAAATCATACTTCAGGTTTCAGAATACTTCAAGTTTTATTCCTGCTAACACTGGGTAGTTGGATGAATTGTCTTTTGACCTTATTCACAGTTTGTGATCAGATGACAACATGATCTTCCTATAAAGGAATATTTAGCTTTCTCTTCTCTATAGAAATCATTGTATAAAGCTAACACTTTATAGGCATGGTAACTAGTTAGTTTTGAAAAAAAACTCATCAATTTACTAGCCTATATCTTTTACAAAAATCATATATTAAACAATAGAATCCATCAATTAATAAGCCTAATTCTCAAGAAAAAATTAATAACAATTCCTTGTCTTCTTGCATTTCCCAAAAGGGTCAAGCTATATAACTGCAGAAAATGAGATTCCAGGATAAACTGGATCCATTGTACAGGAAAGGCTCAGGATAAAATGCATCAGAAAATAGTAACTCCTAGTTCCTATACCTGCACTCAAGCTTTGCCCTCCCAACCTTTCTTACCGGGCTCCCTTTTCAGGGTTGAGGTGAAGCTTCCCAGGGCCTCATCTCCAACATTGAATTCTTCAGAGTCCTCATCATGGATGACTGTGTCAAAGAACAAAACCCATTAAAAGTCTCAGGATATGACCAAGGAGTCCACATGGCAGGAAATCCCATAATAAGAGCACTAGAGGGTGGACACAGTGTCCCTTGCCTATAATCCCAGCAGTTTGGGAGGCCCAGGCAGGAGGAACCCCTGAGGCCAGGAGTTTGAGACCAGTCTGGGCAATACAGGGAGAGTTATGATCACTGTAACCTCAAATAATGTGCTGATTCAGTGCACTCCAGCCTGTGTAATAGAGCCAGACCCAGGAAAAATAAAAACAAAAACACTCCCCAGCCTCCTCATCCCGCCAAAGTAGAAGAACTAGGAAGACCTGGGAAGCTTTGTTGTCTCACAGCCCTGGTCTGTTTCTGGAATGAACTTGACCTGCAGTTTGCTCCAGGTCTTAAGCCACAAGCTGATAACATTTACATGCGGAGGAGGGCAGCTTTGCCCATCTGTTGGTACTGTTATCACTCCCACCCTTATTCTATTTTTTTCTTTTTTGTTACTCTTTTCATTACTTAGCCTTCCTCTTGGTTCTGCCCATCTCCCCTGCTTCTCCCTCTGTTCCTGGGTTTCTTTATATACCTTGGTATCTTTATATACCTCTTCTTCTTGTCTTGATGTGTTTCCTTCTTTATCTCTTCTTGTAAACATCTTGTCACCCTAGCTTTTTCCTTTTCCTTTAACTCTGCCCCTATATCTTCCTCTCTTCCTTTAGAAATAGCCTCTCTGACATCAATACCTATCACCTCCATTTCTAGCTTTGGTACCCTCCCAATTCCTAAGGACTTTCTTCTGTTAAGCTGAGGGCTCACTGTTTGAAGTGCTGGCCCCCTCGCCTTCCTGCCCCGCTCCCAGGCTATCTGAACAGCCTCAATGGGCCCTGATGAAGTACCAGACACCTTATCTGGTGACCTGTGATTCACGACTACAAATTCATCCAGTCAGACTTACCTATTATCTCAGATGCCTGGTTATAGTTAGTTCTTGCTTGAGCTTGGTGCTCATCTTCTGGCATAAATAATGGCTCCTCTTTCTTTATATCTACCAGATGCACAAGACAGGAATTACTGTGAATTCTTTGGCTGGACTAGCTCTGCCTCTGGGCCAAATTGTAAGAAATAAGGCAGTTTCATTTGTCTCCCCATTGAGTCCTTCCATTGATAATTCCCTCCCTCAAGTTCACTACTATAAAGAAAGCTTCACCTCCCAACCTTTCTTTTTCTCTGTTGCCCTGCCTTAACCTTCCCTTTGTGCCTCTTATTGACTCTGGAGGTTTTTAATATTTACATATACTTATTCTTTGCATACTTCGATGGATAAATTTTTTTTGCCCTTTTTAAAAATAGCAATTTTAGGATTGTTTGAGGCCAGGCATTTGATATCTTCCTGGGGAACATAGCAAGATCCCGTCTCTAAAAAGAAAAAATAAGAATCAGCAAGGTGTAGGCCCAGCTACTTGGGAGGCTGAGGTGGTAGGTTTACTTGAGGTCAAGAATTCAAGGCTGCAGGAGGTATGATTGTGCCTCTGCACTCCAGTCTGAGCAATAGAGCAAAACTATGTCTCTAGATAAATAAAGTAAAAATTTTAATTACAGAATAACATACATGGATAAAGTGGGTTTTGAATGATCACGAAGTAAGGATATCACTTTAGTCAAGAAATAAGATTACCCTAACACCTCAGAAGCCTCCTAGTAACACATCCCAGTAACTATCCCTATATTCTACCGTAAGGTCAAGTACCATCTGGGCTTCTAATATCTAGATTAATTTTGACTATTATATAATTTATGTAAATTATATCATGTTCTCGCTCTCTCTTTTCCCATCTCTGTCTCTATTTCTCTCTCTCTGTATATATATAATCTATATGTTTATATTTCCCCAAAAGAAACCAAATCCCCTGAAATTTATATGTGTATTATTTAATATGCTCATGAAAGGCATTTATAATTATGTCCATTGTTGTACAGTATGCCATCACATTATCCATTTATGCTGTTTCAAGTGTTTGGCTTTTGTGAATAATGCTACTATGGACATCGTTTTCTATGAGTTTAGATGAATGTAAAACACACTTCTGTTGTTTTCTCCTGAGTTGAACTGTTGCATTCTAGGGCATGTATGCTTTCAACTGTGGAAGATAACATCCAACTGTTTTCCAAAAGCATATGTAAAGGCAGAGATATAGGAGGGAGAACTCGGCAAATTCAAGTAGTTAACAGAAGTCTGTGGTGGTGGGAAGGTGGCCCGGGGAGGTGAGAGGGAAGTGAGGGGGAATGTTCTGCTGCGTGGTGGGCATCCCTCAACACGCACACCAGGAATAACCCTGAGGGCCACAAGAAGGCTCTGAGTAAAACAGGAAAACCATATGATCTGGTTTCCGTGTTTGAAAGATCCATTCAGCTCAAGTACAGAGAACAGACTTGAGGGAACCAAAACTGCAGGTCAAGCCCAAGACAGGTGGCTGTTCCTCTAGTTTGAGTGAGATTAATAAGAATCTGGATTAGGGTGATTATGCTGGAGATGGAGACAAATGGACAGGAGATAGTTTAAAGTTGTAATTAATAGAGATGGCATATAAAATGTTGTTTTGAACCAGGACGTTCTGGGGTGTTTTGTTACATGACACAGCAGGAGGTAACTGACACAGCCTCCAAAGAGAAATGTCCTGATCTTTGAACAAAAGTTGCCAGGCACTTAGAGAAATGAGCCTACTAGACAGGTCTAAGCTGGACATGTGTGTTTAGGGATCTATGCAAGGTGACTGAGCCACGGAGAGGATGAGATGCCTGAGGAAAGGCCTATTAATCCAAGGGGGCACAGGGCTATTTTGATAAGGTAACACCTCACTGTTCCCCAGGGCAATAAGGAGCAACCCTGCACCTTCCTTAAGGCACTGTCTCCACAAGTCAGACCATGTCTTGATTTGACTCCTCTCTCTTCTCTCCTCCTTACCTGGCTTGCTCTCTACCAACTTTTCATTCATATTCCTTCAGCTCATTCTCTGTAGAGATCTCTTTGAGCCTCCCTCATTTTTTCTTATTTCTTGGTACTTATTTCCCTCTATCTCTTTCTCTATTCATACCCTTTTTCCATACATTACTTTTTATTACTACTTCTCAGGGTCACAACTAAAGTGCGGCAAAGGAGGAGTGTGGGAAGCCTTAATCTGCGAGGACAGGCTCAGCCCCAGGTGCTTCATCTGATGCCTGCCCTGCTGTTCCCTGGCTAATTTCAGTGGATCCACCTCTGTTAGGTTTCCTACCCACTGCCAGTCTGTTTTGTTTTTTAATTTCTTTTAACAGAGTCTTATGCTGTCATCCAGGCTAGAGTACAGTGGCATCATCATAGCTCACTATAGCCTCAAACTTCTGGGCTCCAGCAAACCTGCTGCCTCTGACTCCCAGAATTCTAGGATTTGGGGCCAAACCCATTCTGTTTCTTAATTAATGGGTTTGAGCTGGACGACACGGGTTTGAGCTATACAATACAGGTTTGAGCTGTATGACACGGGTTTCAGCTGCGTGATGCTCATAGAGCTGCACGATATGGGTTTGAGCTGCACGGGTCCACTTATGTACGGATTTACTTCCATGTCTACCACACCTGAGAAGCAAGACCAAACCCTCCTCTTTCTCCTCCTCCTCAGCCTACTCAACATAAAGATGATGAGGATGAAGACCTGTACGATCTACTTTTACCTAATGGGTATGTTTTCTCTTCTCTTTGATTTTCCTAACATTTTTCTTTTAGAAAGCTTATTTTATTGTCAGTTACAATGCATAATACATATAATATACAAAATATATATCAAATGACCATATCATTATCAAGACTTCTACTCAAAGTATGCTGTGAATAACTAAGATTTGGGGGAGCTAAAACTTACATGAAAATTTTGGACTATACAGGGAATTGGATCCCTGAGCCCTCACACAGTTAAAGGATCAACTGTGCTTTGTTGTTTGGTGTTCCCTGGTTGACCATTTACTGTATTTTCCTTTCATCCATTCCCTACCCAGGGATATCCCTTCCAGTAAAGAAAGTATCTCTCTTTCCCTCTTGCATCTGACAGCTGCCAATAGCAGTCTGAGGCTGTGCACAGAGGCTGTGTTTCCTGGGTTGGAGTAGGCAGTTTGTGTGGGAATACAAAAGAAAGTTATTGCTGTCATAGGAAGACAAAGATATAATTAGACAAGTGGGAAAAAGCAGAGTGTGATGGCAGAATAGAACTCTCTAGGACTTGTCCCCTGCAGAAACATCATTGTGAACAACTATCCGTTCATGACATTAATGAAAACACCTTCAACTAGGTGATGGAGCACAGAGATAAGAAACAACACATTGAAATGAAAAGGAGGAACAGGTTTACATTATCTTTGCCAATATTCCCCCAACCTCAAGCAGCACAGTGTTGAGAGAAATATCATATGCTTGGGGAATCAACAAGAGAGGGAACATCATACTTTGGCCTGGACCCAAATCCCCAAATCCCAACAATACAATGGAATTCTATAATAAGGAAATCCTGTCATTTGTGACATGAGTGAATCTGGAGGACATTGTGTTAAGGTAAATAAACCAAACAGAGAGAGACAAAATAGCATATCTCACTTACACATAGGGGTACCAAAAAGTGAACTTATAGAAGTTGACAGTATGTGGTGGTAAAGGGGAGGGGTTGGGTGAAGTAGGGGTTGGGGGAGATGTTGATCCAAGGATACGAAGTTCTGGCTGGGCAGTCAGAATAAGTGCCAGAGATCTATTCTATGACATGGTGAGAAGAGTTAATAACACATTGTATTCTTGAAAGTTACTAAGAGAGTAGACATTAAGTGTTCTCACCACAAACATGATAAATATGGGAGGAAATATATATGTAATTAGCTCAATTTGGCCATTTCATAATATATACATATTTGAAAACAGTGTCATGCGTGATGAATCCATCAATTTTTATGTGCCAATTTAAAGAAATGGTTAGAATGGTAAAAAGTAAACACCTAACCAAAAAGATGCAGAGCATTGGAAGAAAATAGAAAATATGTAGGTAAGTAATAATTACTTTGCTCATCACAGAATCTCCATTATTCAATAGTGGCTCCCAGCACTCTGCAGATAACAGAGAACACAGCTGAGATCCAACAGTGCCTTGCTCTATCCTATGTCCACTTTGTTACACCTCACCCTGCCTCTCTTTCCTCTTCAAGTTTCTGCTTATTAGCCCTGTCTGCATATGCTGCTGCCTCCACCCTGTGAAGGTATCTATGCCTCCCTGAGCCCACGGCCAGTCTCTCTCTAAATCCTTTTGACTTTTGTTTCTGTATCCCTTCCCTGGTGAGGCTCTGTAACTCTTTCCCCCATCTCTCGGTTTTCCCTTCTTCCTTCCTCCAGGCCTGTCTCCTCAGTATATCAGGCTCCTTTGCTCTGATCTCTGTGTCTGTGTGATTTTCCCATCTTGATAAATAGCTGGCTCCCTGTGTTGTGCATTAGTCCATTCCTCTGCCCCCAGCCAGGGACCCCAGCCCCTCCACGCTCATGCAAACCCACTCAGTCAGTCTAGTCTGCGGGCTCAGTCTCTTGGGCACATTGAGGATTTGTTCGTTGGCTTCCTAATGCATCATTTTTGTCTCTGGTTGTGTCTTTTCTCATTGCAGGTACCTGTTCTCTTTCAGAGAGGTGGTCCAAGAGCCCATTTTCAGGTGGGGTTGTACCTAAACTATGTTTTGATTCATAGATATTTTATTTGCCCTCTGCTACTCATCACTCCCCGTCTCCTCCAACCACCACAGTCTGGGACACCACTGGATGGAACTCAAAGCACTGAGGCAGTAGCCACATTCAAGCAGGCACAGGCAGAAAACAGTGAAGCAGACACACGAATAAAAGATCCAGGCCCAGAGCTGTAAGAACTGGTGGCAAGTTTGTCTAAGGGGAATGGGAAGAAGAAACCATCCCAGGAAACCCGGAGGATAACTACCTATTATTTCAGTCCTATACATGAAAAAGCGCAGAAGCAAAGAGTGAAAATTCTGAGCAATCAGTAACACACAGAGTCAGCTCCCACAGAACATTCCAGAATAAGATGAGGCAACAGAGGTCCACAGAGCAGTCAATAGGAACAAACCAGTGGAAACGGAGGAATCTGAGGGTGGCTGAGGCAGGCTTGGAATAGAGCTTTCACCAGTTCCTGGGGGAAGAAATTACAAGTTATTTCAGAAATCGAAACATGGGTTTTGTGATTTTCCCCTAATCCCTCTTCCGTCTTTACAGTGCAGGCATTAAAGACCTCCTGTAAGTCACAATGCAGAGCCCATGGGAGCCAGCAGATCCAGGGGGCCTGGTGCACCCTGCTGAGAGGCCTCAGCCAGGCCACCACACACTCTGGTACCTGGACGAGGCTTGACATCCTCCACCAAAGTGGACCTGGGTCTGTCCCAGAGCTGCC